ATCTAGTCGATATTCACAATTTTCTTTATTATTCAAGAATAGCGAGTAAATTACACTGAGTCTCGTGACAATAAGTTTCCAGTAAAACGAAGCACGACGTTCTCAATTTAAATTGAGTGTTTTGCATGTGACACGCTTCCAGCACCACTATAACAGGAGAATGGATGTTTAGAAATTTTCTGTGAACTCAATTCCACGGCCGATAGGTTTTTCCACATATTCTTCCGTATTTTTCAATATTGGTATTTTTACCGAAATTTTATGAACGTGATTGTCAAATGCGTGTCTCGAATATTAAATGACCAACGAAATTGAACGAAAATATTGGAAGAGAACATATTTTGGCTTGACGAATTCCATGAGAAAAGAAAGACGCACCCCGTGTTATTTTGGTGTTTTTTATCGGAAGTTTTTTTTGTGGCAAAGTTGTATTGTTTTGCACACGTTGATTGTATGTTGAATCTTGAGATATGAATCGAGCGGGAAATGAAAAATGCGTACACTTCGCTGTCCGGTGTTCCAAAATTTTGACAATCATTGCCATACATTTTACGAAATCAGATGTCATAACGAAGACACGTGTGCTATTTACAAACGAAGTGACCAGCAAGAACAGTGTTGAGTTTATAGACAGAATTACAAAACAATACTTGATTGTCATTTGGTAATAAAAAAAAATTAGAACGTGTAAATTGAGCATTTTTTTCACCAGAAACATATGCTTACAAGTTTGCATTATTTTCCCTCTTCAATTTTCGGCGTACTGAATTTGCTGCGTAAGACAGTTTTCAACGGATAGGAACACTCAAAAACGTTCGAAATTTCCCTTCACTATTGTACGGATGAAGGTTTGAATTAATCACAAATAATTTTCGAAATTTTTGTTTTCAAAGTTGTTGGAAGTTGTACAGTATTATCACGAACAGATTTCTTAATTTTAAATCCCCATACGATGTCTGTATAGTTACTTCCACTGCAATTATGTCCATTTTATTCGTATGGAATTAATTTTTGTTTTACATTACTGCACTGTTCAATGATGTATCAAAACGGCGGCTTGAAGGGTTAAATGAACAACAGATATCCGGGGCATGATTCCATACATTTTGCGTAAATCGGAAGCTTTTTTTTTGGCATTTGCCGCTTTCAAGTTTATCCAGACTGTGTTTTTTGAAGGGAAGGAAAGTGCTATATGCCATGTCTGAAAAACTCCAAAAAATATCGTAAATATTCGGTTATAATGTTATATTTCTTGTAACTTCCAATCTGCATCCCAGAATAAGCGAGGCTATTCGTCAATTTTTTTTATCCCAACCTTAATTTCGTATCAAGTGTCTTCATCAATATGCCGTGGATTCATACCCTTATGCATCGATGACGACGTACGTCAATCGTTTCTTCTTCGTCTATTGACAATCACTGTCCACGACAAGACAAACAACCCGTCTGGAGTCCTTCAGTATACACACAACACACAAATCCCGTATCTCTCGGACGCACGTGTGTCGCACTGTCGCGTCGAATTGATTGCACCGACTAAGTGGAAAGAGGAAGAAGAATAATATACCAAGCACAAGAATACGAAAGAGCAAGCAAAGCCAGCTGCTCGCGCTGAGAAAAGAACCGTGTGCATGATCTCAGTTGACATCGTCGGGCCCGATTGATTGGCACGCCAAGATGTTTTCCGCGAAACCTGCACGTTTCACCAGCAAAAGAGCAAGCAAAGCCAGCTGCTCGCGCTGAGAAAAGAACAGTGTGCATGATCTCAGTTGACATCGTCGGGCCCGATTGATTGGCACGCCAAGATGTTTTCCGCGAAACCTGCACGTTTCACCAGCATTCCGTTGCTGGTTTCAGCGGGTGTGACTGTGATATTGTTCCAAGCGCCGGAGTTGATGAGCCGACATCATCAGAGATTGAGGCATGATTCCGTGGCTTACAAATATTCGCCCAGGCATCGCCCTGTCGCGTGGAATCAGCACCCAGGTAAGTAATGGTCACATCCAAAATTTTTGCCTTTTCCCCCCGAAAATGTAAGACCTAAAAAATGTATTGGGATTGTGCAGTGCTGGTACTCAATAAAAACAGACGCTTCGTTGAGCAGATTTTTTGCACAATGAATTAAAAGACTCGCGCGGCCTTCCGTTCAATTTGAAAACAATAAGAAACTGCTTGAAAATGTTCATCATCGAATGAAAAGTAAATTTCCGACGTGGCTGTCACATTCATCATGCTGTATACAGGCTGGATTTTCGTTGAAATGAGCAGCTTGAAATAAAAAAAATCAGTATCGTGTTACATTTATGTTTTTTTTTTTTTTGCTATACAGTGATGATGTAAAGTACTATACTTTAATTGAGTTATTCGAGACTCGAGAGGCATAAAAATCAAACGTTATGTAGAGTCGGTCACCTCGTTTGACCATCGGCGTTGAAATTCAAAGCGTTTGTTTGAATTGTATATAGATGTCGCAGTTACTGAAAACTCGCCACTCGTGAATTGATGCTTCCACTTGATCTAAATACCGCACGCTTAATACCGTATATACTCCTACTCTACAGTATTTTGTTAAATCAAAATTTTGTGACATTAATGAATAAGATGCATCAACTTTTGTATTCTGAATTTCTGATCGTCGAAAACTGCCTCGCTTCAGATGGAAGTTGTCGTTCTTGCATGAACTCTGGTCGACTTTTCTCTAGCCTGATCTGTGGCCCGATCAGAGTGTCGCCGTTATATGCGGCGAACAATTGTCAGAGGCCAAATCCACTAATCGTCGGAGGACTGCAGGCAAAAGACGGTGAGTTTGCAACATTTTTTGAAATATAATTCCAAAACTTACATCACCTGGCCATCAAGAACAAAGAGTTCAACAAAGATGAATCAGGTAAAAATATGAAATGATATAATATGATTACAAAATAGTATATGATATAATTTGACATTAAAATATAGGTAATATGATATAACCTGCTTCCATGCAGAATAATATTCGAGTGCGCAAGCGCCGTTTATTCCATAAAAAAATTCTAAAATGATTATGTGCGGCAGCCTATTATTCTCAAAATAGTAGAATATAAGCTGCTCAATTAGATTCCAGAAAATTAGACGTAGATGAATAATTTACGCGTGTTTTTAATCTTAATTCGTGCATTTCTGAAGATTTATTTTATTCTCCTTTTTTCAAATTTTCATTCGTAATATGTGTGGGCTATGTCTGTTTTATATATTGTATGTATTAAGTGTGTAGGCCACCTTTTCTTGAAAAGTTTTTCTCAATATTTTTCAAAGCCTTTACTATCATTATGTATGATAGTAATTACATATTTTTTAAAAACATTCGATCGAAAAGCTTTTTTCTCCCTCTCTCTCATCTCAGGATGAATCGTATCCACTTCTATGCCCGAATTCCGCTTGATTTCAAAGCGAGTAATAGCTATACATCTCATAGAAATACATCTGCCTCGATTTTCTGATTTTCAAATTTTCAATTCTACAGAGGATTTTCATTTCATGGCCGTAATCAAAACGTTCAACCAGTTCCATTGCGGAGGAAGTTTGATCACGACGAAGCACGTGCTGACAGCCAGACATTGCGTTGTGCACAAAGAACTACACTTATCTACTTTGATACCTTCCAGCCAGATTGAGGTGATGTGCTACAATCTTTGGCATATCAGTAAACCTTCAAATTTCGAAAGATTATAGGAAAACAATCATCAATTATTCCGACAAATTATCGTTGATTTGCTCAGGTTATTCTGGGAGAACGTGACCGGAGTGTTTACGAAGGGTATGAGCAAGACAAAGCCGTTTCTGCGGTGTTTGTGCATGAAAGAGGGTGAGTAAACAGTATTGTGCCATCTTATTGCCAATTTTTCTTGAGATACAGTGCTATGCTATAAAACTGTGTTCCCCATAATAACCCGTGGTGCGTGGACCAGAGTGTAGCTGAAGTTTTTTTGCCGGTCTGTGGGGAATTTTCTTCAGGATAATACATTCACCGAAATAAGTAGCAATATGAAGCATATGTTATGTCCATTTGCAATTTTGGAAGGACAGTTGAAACTATCTGATGAAAAGTAAAATTTGGCTTTTCTCCTGAAAACACTTCAGACAAATTGTATCTTGCTGAAATGTATTATTTTAATTTTTCATACCGATGAACCTTTATCCAAGCCCACCCTTCTAATTCTTTGACGGCTGCTGCATTGGTTCTTAACTTAATTTTCGGAAAACAGTCGTAAATTCTTAAATACCTGCATTGAAGTCCTTAAAAACATTTTTTTGGAGCCCGTATTGCCAGTCTGCGAAAAATCGCATGGACATTTTCCGGTCAGGGGGCCCAAAGAGAGCTTGATAACACTGCTATATGCAATGCTCATCAGCTGCCGATGATTTTTGCAGGAATGCCGATAAACCCAATTCATATGACGTGGCGGTCATCGAACTACAATCGCATGCTGTCCTCGGTCATTACGTGAGCCTCGTGAATCTTCCTGAGCCAAACACGCAAATACTTGGTACGAACTTGAAAAAAGTTGCCCATTGTTAAGATGAAGCTACTGTACATTATAACGCTTTATAGGTCTAGCAAACATCGAAATTGGTTCAAGGAAAAAGTCCTGCGCACGCCTCGGCTTTACACAAAATAACCGTGCTGATATTAGAAGACTATTCTCAAACATGCTTCTGCGCCTTTTAATCAGTATACACAAATAAGCTATGACGGGAATAATGTGCCCTATATATTTTTAATTAAATCCTATCGTTGTACTGATTTGGAATTTGGATGATTGAACGACTAATTTTTCGAGTTGAAAGTAAGGAAAAATCGCCTATTATTCCTTTAGGAACCTCACTTCAAAAATAATAATCTTCCCGAGTCTGCGGATATCTGTTGATGTTGTAAAATTCGAATTCCAACTGCAATCCTCGTTTTTATTAATTCAAAGACCATAAATATATTGTATAAGGCTTTTTTATTATATTATACAAGTATGGAAAAGAAACATGCTGGAGGAGGGACTGTTCGGAATAAAGGATATTTTATGTTGTTTAAATGTGGGAGCATTGTTTTATGCAGACCTCAAGGAAGATCATCATAAAAATTTCATTCAGTTAGGATCAAGCCGATGAGTTCAGAAGAGGAAATTGATTTGGCAGGAAAAAGCGACAGTTTTTAGTTTCTTGCCCCCCCCCCCCCGGGGGGGGGGGGGGGGGGAAA